TGGGATTGCCAAGAATGTTGTGATTCATAGAGTTAAGGAATAGACTGTGTTGTTGAAGCAAATAATTTCTCATCAAGGTCCCTGAAAATGGTTTCCAAATGATGTTTTTGGCTTATTTAATCAGTACTTCAGAGATATGAGAATGTCAAAGACACCCCACCAAAACTATATTTGCACTGTGCTCATGCACTTGAACCCCACACTTCTTTGGAAAGGTTGTTGCTTTTAAGATGAAACACAGGTACATTAATTTTTAAGGAAGTGCCTTTAAATAAGGCTTTTCAGCAACAGTGAAATAAGGGTTAATTTGTGAGTAACATATACTGTAATTCCCCAGTCTACAGGGTCTGCATGGTCTGCATGGTCTGCATGGTCTGTATGGTCTGCACAATCTGCATGGTCTGCAGTCTGTGGTCTGCATTTTGCAGTCTGCACTTTAGCATGACCACTGTGTTGCAAATATAAATAAATAATTCCCCTTGAAATTGACGCTTTAAAACAAATAACCATACCCTCAACTTAATGTCTGATCTCTGTGCTCTGGTTTTTTGCAAACATTGTTTGGTTCTGTCACACTACACGATCTTCTTGTGAGTGTGTTGAACAACAGCTATGAAAGAGATTATTAGGAGACTACCCTCTTGATATTATTTACATCTGCACTTTACACGCAAGTAATTTGGGTGTGAAATTGACAATTGAGATGTGAATGTCAAGAGGTTTCCTATATTTCAAAATGTCATTTTGTGCATACTTAAGACAAGCAGTCATCATCATCATAATCTTTATTTAAACATGGTAAAATACATCAGGCATTAACAATTTAATATTAAAGCTACAACTAATTACAAAAAACTATGTATACTATGTATACAGTATACCTTACATGCCAGAATATTGCAGAATGGGGCAGATGTTTTCATTAGAGGATCTTTTATTCAAAAATCAGAGTGAAAAGTTTTTCATCTGAAAGAATATATTGGGAAGCTGATATCTCTAAATGTCATGAATCCTCAATATTCAGGATGTAGGATTGCCATTTAATCATAGATCCAAATTCCATTGAATCAACAGATCCAAATTATAAATAATTAAGGCATTGATACAGCCTGTGACCTGCTTTGACTGTAAACCAAAACACCATACCTTGGAGTGGAATCCTTTCATTTGCAGCAAATGATTTAGCACAGTCATCAGCATTTGCAGGTTCAGCAGCATAAATTTTAATGGCAGGCTTCAAAGCTTTGACAGCAATAGCAATCCCACTCAGCATGCCACCGCCACCAACTGGAACAACTATTGCATCCAAGTTTGGTACCTATAGACCACAGAAACAATACTTAATTTAATTTATTTTAGGTTAAAAATCAACATGATAATCAAGAGATCATTCTTAAGTAGACTTACAAGGAAAAGTTGTGTTGTATACTGATTGTCTTGTGTACAGTGGCTCAGAAGAATTGATATTAGAGAGATACAGTTGAAGGTGGTGGTCTAGAAAACACTAAATTTGCAAAACAATCCATGACCCCCTTGTATCCAACACTGGGATGCACATGTTATGTCTACTTGTCCTTACACTGGCTGCTACTAATCTACAAAGTGAACCACTGACCAGGATTGATTGCTAAATATCTTTAAAAGATAACAAAACAACAGTACTATAATTTTCAAGGGAATAAAGTGAACAGATTGTGAAATTGAGGTCTTCAGTCTCTCAAAGGAGTTCACATGAATATTCTTCAGTGTAGCCCTCTTGACAGACAGCTGCCACAAGAGTTGCAAATTGAGCTCCACTGCTTAGGAAAATTCACTAACCAATGGGTACATGGCAGCAAATTGTGTAAAAGGAAGGGATCAGATTGGAACAATCTTGAACTAGTGCATAATGAATATATAAAACAAAACATATAAAGCAAAATAAATCATCACTGACAAAATTAACCTAAAAAGAAAGCTAAAAAATAATTTATGCCTGGTCAATTTGAATTAATTGGCTCCAATCAAGAACACAAACAGTCAAACAGGCAGGTACTGTACATGTTTTGCTGTTTAATCATTAACGGCCATCAAGTAACTAAAAGGTTAATTACTGAAAAGCAAAAATGAAGGGCAATATTTAGAACACAATTGTAACTACCAATTGTCCTTACTTAGAAAAGAACTCTAATTACAATTTTACAGATCTGATCAATAATACATACCTGTTCCAATAATTCCACACCAATAGTACCCTGGCCAGCAATAATATGAGGATGGTCAAATGGAGGTATAAGATAGGAATTACTTGTCTCTTGAAGGATTCTTTGAGAAGTTGCTTCCCTGTCCTGCAATAAGCCATACAAATAACATTGTTGCATGAAGTGGTCTTGAGTCTTAACTCTTCTGACTTTGGCTTACCAGTGAGTAAGAACTTTTATGACATACCACAAATGTGAGCTTATAAGTGGGTTGAGACTTTTGATTCAGAATCAAGACTGCTGGAAAGTGATTAGTATCATCATAAAAGAAATACAACATACTCTAGTCATTCTGAGGACATTTTCTTTAAAATAATTTTTTTAATACATTTTTGACTATTCATTTTGATAATTTCTGAGAAAGACAACCAAATAGCTTGGGATTGCCAAGAATGTTGTGATTCATGTTTGCAAGGCCCAGAGTCCTTGGTATTGCTTCTTTCTTCCTCCTCTAGTGGAGATATGAAGAGAAGAACTGAAATAGCAGGTTGCTCTTCATAATGTTCATGTAATCTTTTTCTGATAGTTACTTGCATTATCATTAACTATGATATACCTCAGCTGATGCACCACAGTCAACAATAGTAGCACCATAATCTCTTACTGCAGCCTTCTTAACTGAGGGTGCATTTATTGGCATAGCAATAACAGCCTGTAGTCCCATGATTTTTGATGACAGAGCAATTGCCTGAGCATGGTTTCCACTACTGTGAGTGACCAACACAGGTTTCTGACCATCAGGCAGAGAATTTAACAGCTGAATAACAGCATTCATTGCCCCTCTGATCTTAAAAAAAAGTACACTTTGTCAGATAGGTTTTTTTAGGATATTAGCACTATCATTTCCAGGTCCCACAGTCATTTGCAATTTTCTTTTATTCATGTATGTGTATTACACATTAATTATTCATTTGTCATTTTCTCTTATTTGCATATTATTCCAAACTTAAGTTTTCCGTATTTAGTCTTTGTTGCATGACTTTATAGTACTTAGTAGCACTTTCCCAAATGATGGCAAAGAGTTTGCAATTAATTGGATTACAAATGTCCCTTTTGGTCTTTTCATTGATGACGTCTTCTCTGACCGCACCCCAAGCTGTAATTGTTTTGGTTGCGATGGTGAGAAGAAAAAATTTTTGGCAACTAAATCTGCCATGATAGTTACTGTATTTGGCAACTTGTGATCAACAGTCAGCAAGCAAGTTGTACCTGTGACTACAGGTGACTACACCTGTACAGGTAGTGTGGTCAACATATGGTGTGTTGTATAACACTGCACAAAGTGCCATCATCATTTTTTCCCCAAACTACCCTCTTTGATAATGTTTTATGTTTCCAGATGAGTAGCCTTGAGATTAGGGCCCAGTGTAAGCTTTTCTATAGTTATAAGCTGCTAAAGTGTAAGTCTGGACTGACCAGTTGCTAAAAATTCAGTGAACTAACCTCTTCACAAAGGGGAATTATGTAAATCAACAAACTTTCAAACTAAGTGAAAAAGATGTTACTCTTTGGATGAGATTTCAATGTCCTTGCTAAAGAGTTTTAAATAGCAAGACATTAATTTTACCTTGAAAGCACCTATTTTTTGGAAGATTTCACACTTAAAATGAATGGCTCTGCCAGCCATTCTGTCAAGAGTTCCAGATGTCATCACTGGGGTTTTGTGTACAAATGGCTCAATTCTTTTTGCAGCATCTTGAATATGCTGTATGTTCACCTCAAAATTTGACTGCATTCTGTGTAATTAAAAGGTGATTTGATCAGTTTCATCGGCTTCTAATTCAGAAAATAGGCATGCAGTTAAACAAGAACTTCTGTTATAATGACATAAACCTGAAAGTGACTAATCTTTTTTTTTTGAGTTGGAAAGGGTAAGATTTTTCCCAATGATACATCATGCAAATAATTTGCCCAAAGAATTCTCAGGAACTTCTAGTGCTCATTTTTCTTCAAAACTCTACATGGAAAGCATTCACACATGGACTCTAACACCAACTGTCTTGTTACCCTCAATTTATAATTATTTGAAAATGTGTGTTAACAGCAAAGCGTATTTGTCTATGCATAGTAAAATGGTGGGCAGTCATAATCCGACATGAAATAAGGGTTTTTGACCTGAAGTGGTGCTTAATCTCTGTCCAAGGACAGGTACTAAATACAAATTGTCATGGCAGCTCAGAATAAGCCATTGCCACAAAGAGACAGAGTTACTGAAAATGCAGACCAACTGTGGGTGCCTGTTTTACCTCTCCACCTCCTTTACTTTCATGAATTATGAAAACTACATTTATGGTCAGATTAATAAAAATAATGGTAGATTCTAGATAGATATAGAGAGAGGTGGATAGATAGATAGTTAATTAAAATATTCAAATTTGCACCCTCCTAGAGCTGAATTGCAAGAGTTTGTAAGACTGTTCTTTGGAGCTGTCTTTGAGACATCTGATGTTATTCAACTCTGGATTGTCATGATATGAAAGGCTAGGAGAAATTGCAGAAAGTGCCCTTTTCTGAATGTGCTCTACATGAGGTTTCCACCCAGATAAGTGGGCAATACTTAGTGATATAAGGGTGTGCAATACACTAACACTGGCCTTTTGTTATATCAGAGACATGACAATTCCACTGCATTAGGTTCTACCTTCAAACAACATGTTTGTCATAGAAACTTGTGCTGTTTTCTTACCCATCGTCCCCATCGAATATGACAACATTGCGTCACGCGTGACACTATACGATGCATACAAGGGAAATTGAAGGTACTAGATATGGTTACATACATACATACATACATACATACATACATACATACATACATATATACATAGTTTATTTGGTAACGCAGGGTTAGTTACTGGCAGCATTAAGCTGATGTGGACCTGCGATAAATCTCACTTCTATCCCCAATATTTTGGCTTGAGCAACAATAATGAATGTATAAAGGCTGATAGTTTCTAAAGAAACTGTTTGGGGATGCGTCGGTGGGGGTAACGAAATAATTTGGATATATCAACAAAGTTGAAATGGTAAATTGGTCACCGTAACGATTACAAAAGCTGACGTTTCGAGCGCTAGCCCTTCGTCGGAGTGAATGTATGCGCCCTCTAGTGGCTGCATCTCGCAATGGTTCTCCAGTTTTTCGGAATTTTAGGCTCTATGTTGCCAAGCGTCTGTTCAGTAGGACATGTAGATCACAGATCAGAGATGACGTCAAAATGTGGTAAGAGCAAGAAAGAAGCTGACGAGGTATCACTGACGTCTTCTGTGATCTGTTACTGCACAGAAACACCGCAACATGGAATCTACACGTGTTTGTTTAAAATGATAAAAGAGAAAAAAATCAAGGTTGTAAGTGCGTGGGGATGTCGTGTTTTTTTTATATCAATACACATTGCATATTTGAAAACCAAGGTAACACGGACTAAAAAACCAGTACACTGCTAATAAAATTAACTTAGTATTCAAATTTTACCTGCTGAAAACTTGAAATAATCCCTGTCTAAAAGGACGTCTTCCAGCTAGCATTCGGATATTCTGAAGTTTAGCCAGCATTAGTCACGCATACATACTCAGTCTACTCAGCCTATATCGCGAGGTTGATAAGCCGCTGACTCGATGTGTTTGATGCTTAGGTTGTCACGTGTTTAAAACAGCATGGCGACATTGAGGAAGCATTGATGAAGCATTGATGAAGGAGGACTGTCAACCAACCGTCAAAAATTATCGGCGAAAAGCCCTTAGCTTAGATATAAGACTAAAATGAAACGATCACAACCTGAAACGTCAGGGGAGCCCCCAACGAAGAAGCAGGTCCTAACCAAGTTGATTCCTTCGGTAAACATCGGATCTGTTTCCACCGAGGTGGGTTGCTAGCTAGATGTAAGCTTTTTATTTCTCTTTTCCAGAACGTTTGGTACAGTCATGTTGTGTAACTTTAATTAAAAAAATTTAAAAAGATTTTGTTGTTAAATGGCAACTATTTAACAGTTAAGTGTGTTATTTATATGGTCGAAACACTGTAACACTTAAAAGCCAACAGCTGTTGGTCGACAAGAACTTTTTTGTACCCGGATATTGACTAAGCAAGAAAAGATGGTCTCGTCAAGGGTTGGTAAATTGACAGTCCCTTGAAGCGTGATCCTTGACTCTCGATCCCAGATACTCGATAATTTCAGGAATTGAGCCTCAAGTTGAGTGTGATAGAGCGATGGACTGATGTGCGGGAGGTCAAGGGTTCGAGCTCCGGCCAGACCAACACTAAAGGTCTTAAAATAATTGAGAAGAATATGCTGCCTTTCTATAACATCACGAAATGGTTTAGATATTCTAGTCTTCTCGGATAGGGACGAATAAATGGAGGTCCCGTCTCCTGCAGGATTAGGGGTAGGAGACGTTAATTTCCCATGCATGAGATTACTGTGTGATGGATGTCCTCCCCTGGGGTGGGATGGGTGGGTTCTTGTCTTGCGTTTATATGAGCCTCTGGCTCGGGCAATATAGGCAACCATGCCCCACGTAAAGACATTAAACTTGATTACAGGAAGTATCAAGACCCTCATAACTCGGCTCAAGACACTCAAAACAAGGAAACAAAGGAGTTTTCGAATAATTGGTATTTCACATGATTTGAAGTTACTTTTCTTCTAATCCATAGAATGAAAAATTGTATAGTGCCCATCGTCTCCGATGGTGCAAAACTTCACTTTAATATAATACATGTGTAATTCCTTGCAGTTCAGTAACCTTGTGAATATTACTATTTAATGTATGCCAGGGCTCAACACTTACAGTAGCCGACTAGCCACAAACTAGTAGAAATTCAGTTTTGGCTAGTGGTTTTCAATTTCCTTTTTGCTAGTTTGGCTGATAAACAAACTGAAATTGTCATAACATCCAAATTGTCACTGTAACGTTATTGTCACGCAATCGCTTGTTGTCATGTGACTCGAGTTAGCCAATCAAGTTAGTCTTACCTCGTGCTAGGATTCGCTTGCAATGTAAGTTCTTCGTTCTATTAAACGTTAAGATTCCAACTACCTTGTGATAGTTTATTTCACTGGAATCCCAACATGGTGTCAGGAGTCTTCTTTTAAATTGTCTTCGAACTCCTAAAGCCCTCACGAGCGACCTGTAATGCCAACAATTTTTTGGAAATGCCTCCACCGCCTGATGAATCGAATGCCACTGGCTCAACACAGCAGATCACTTCTCTGACTTTTACTACTAACGTACCTCCACCAGGACGGCTGGAATTAAAAGGCAATCTCTCCGAGAACTGGAAGAAATAGAAACAAGTTTGGGACGCCTACGAAACTGTCACAAAGCTAAACGAAAGGGAAAGTAGATTCCGTGTAGGGACTTTCATCACTTGCATCGGTCCCGACGTGCTCGAAGTACACAATGGCCTGCCCTTTTGCTCAGATGAGGACAAACAAGATATATAAATGTCGTTCTGAATCTATGGAAGTCCCATTGTATTGGTCAGACAAATGTGATCTACGACCGTTACAAGTTCAACAATCGCAAACAAGAGTCTCACGAATCAATCAATGTTTACGCTGCGGCACTGCGAGCGTTAGCGGCAATGTGCGAATTTGGCGAGTTAAAAGCTGAGATGATTCGCGACCGCCTCTTTTGTGGAATCCCTGACAATAGTATTCGTCGAAAGTTGTTGCAAGAGCCTAAATTATTGCTTGAAAAGTGTTTGGATATCTGTCGTTCAGCCGAAGCCACCAGTGCTCACCTCAAGGTTATCAGCGGGCAGTCAGCGAGCACAGGCACACCAGCTGATAATGTCAATGCAGTAGACAAGCGGAAAAGGTCGAAAGTGCCACCCAAACGACGCAGTGCCGGTGAGAAGCAAAAACAGCCCTTACTCGAACCCAAAGAAGATTGGTTAAAACGTTGTAAACACTGCGGAAGAAGTCACGCCAAGCAACGCACGAAATGTCCTGCATTTGGAAAGCTGTGTAGCGCATGCAATAAACCCAATCATTTTGCTGAAATGTGCAGGAGTTTTTCTAGTAAAAACAGCCAAAAACGGAATGATGTTAACATGGTCACCTCTGAAGATTCCTCCGAAGAAGAATTGCTGTGAGTATCCTTTGATTCACATGAAGGAAATGTACATGCAGTCGATGAAGACAATTTTCCTGAGAAGAAAATATTTGCGACAATGGAAATTGCAGGAGCAAATATTCAAATGCAAATTGTAATGTTTTACCTCGAAAATTTGTGCCCTCAGGAACACTCATTACTGAGACTGACCGTACTTTGAAGATGTATAGTAAGTCTACTTTGCTTGTCGTAGGAACATGTAGAGTGAGCATGCGTAACCCAAAGAACAGCAAGAAGTACAATGTCGAATTTGTTGTTGTGAAAGGCAATTATACACCGTTGATTGGATCTCGTGCTTCTCAGCAAATGAATCTGGTAACAGTTCACCAAGAAAACATTCAGCAAGTTACCACCGACGCTCAAAGTCTTACCCTGAATCAAGTAGCAGAAGAGTTTGGAAATGTGTTAAAAGGACAAGGCTGTATGGAAGGAAAACTGCACCTCGAAATTGAGGCAAAAGTTACACCAGTGATTAATCCACCTCGTCGAGTCCTGTTTGCACTCAAAGATAACTTGAAGTCTGAATTAGACTGTTTAGAAAGACTACAAATGATCCGGAAAGTAAAAGAACCTACTGAATGGGTGTCAANAAGAAAGGAACATTAAGCTCAACAGGGACAAGTTCATGTTCAAGTGCTCCCAAGTTCCATTTATCGGTCACTTATTGACTAGCGAAGGATTGAAGCCTGACCCACAGAAAGTAGAAGCTATCTGCAACATGCCCAAACCGGAAGATGTTCAAGCGGTACAGCGTTTTGTTAACACAGTGAAGTACCTCTCAAGGTTTTTAGAAGACCTGTCCGATATGTCTGAGCCCCTCCGCAGACTTACACATAAAGGTGCTCCTTGGAAGTGGTCTCAGGAGCAAGAAGAAGCCTTTACAAAGATCAAGAAAGCTGTGTCCACTGCTCCAGTGTTAAAATTTTTCAATCCAAATGAGCCAGTTGAGGGTGAAGGAGATGCCTCAGAGAAAGGAATTGGCTTCGCCCTTATGCAAGAAGGTCAGCCTGTAACCTATGCGAGCAGATCTCTCACGAAAGCTGAGCAAAACTACTCACAAATCGAGAAGGAGCTACTTGCACAAGTCTTTGGCATGGAGCATAATCACCAATATGTATACGGCAGAAAGGTTACCCTGTGGACAGACCACAAGCCTTTAGAGATAATCGCCAAGAAACCTCTGGCTGCAGCTCCAAAACGTCTACAGCGTCTTATGATGAGATTAACGCAGTATGATGTGGAAATCAAGTACAGACGTGGCCCTGAGATGTATCTTGCCGATACACTTTCCAGAGCATACTTGCCCCAGGAACACCACCCAGGAAAGGCAGATCAAGAGGTGGAGAGGATCCATTCTGTAAATTTCCTATCAATATATGAGCCACAGATCCAAGAAATCCGCGAAGAAACTGCCAAAGATCCTGTCTTGCAGACTCTTAAAGCAACAATTCTAAATGGTTGGACTAGCCAAAGAAAGGAACTACCTCCTGAACTGCATGAGTACTTCAGAGTCAAGGACGAGTTGGCGACACAAGATGACATTATTTTCAAGGGTCCCAAATGTGTCATCCCGAAAAGTCTGAGACCCAAGATCAAGGAAAAGCTCCACCGATCTCACATCGGTATTCAAGGATGTTTAAGAAGAGCCCGTGAAGTGGTGTATTGGCCCAACATGAACAGAGAAGTGACAGAATTCATCTCAAAATGTGAAACCTGCAACACCTTCCAGTCTGCCCAACTTTGCTATGAAATCCCACAGCATCCTTAGGAAAAGATTGGTTGTGACGTCTTCACATTTAACAATCAAGACTACCTGTGTACCGTCGACTACTTCTCCGATTATTTTGAGATTGATGAGCTGCGCTAGTCAAAGACAGGTGCCACAGTGATGGAAAGCTCAAGAAACGTTTTGCCACCCATGGAATTCCAGATACATTCCACAGTGATAATGGTCCACCCTTTTCTTCAAATGAGTTCTCAGCCTTTGCAGCAATGTACGAGTTTGAACACGTCACCAGTTCGCCGGAGTATCCGCAGAGCAACGGCAAAGTGGAAAATGCAGTTAAAACAGCAAAAAGCCTGATGAAGAAATCTGCTACTACAAACTCGGATTTTCAGCTTGTATTGCTAGATTGGCGAAATACACCAACAGAAGGTATGAAGAGTTCACCAGCACAACGATTGTTCAGCAGGCGCACAAGAACACTGCTGCCGACCTCGAAGAAACTCTTAAAACCCCAGTTAGTCACAGATGTTAGAGAGAGGAAGTTACAGAGGAAAGAAGTTCAGACACGCTATTACAATCAAAATGTCAAAGAACTTTCCAGCCTCATCAAAGGTGATGTTGTACGCATGAAACCACAAGCCTCTGACATTAGAACAGAAGATGGCAGGTTGTTCCGAAGAAACCGGAGACATCTTCGACAGTCCAAGGAACCGTTC